TAATAATTAGTCTCCTATTTGTTTAAGCAGAAAGAAAATGAGAGGAGAAAGAAAAATTTTAAATTAGAATTAGAAAATAGGAGAGAAATTGTTTTAGTTTTGTTTTTATAAGTATTTTTTTCATTTTTTATTTTCTCTAATTAAAATAAACATTATTACTTAATTGTTTTTCTTTTTTTTTCTTTTAAACAAATTAAAGCTAAAGATTTTAGTAATAAAAATAATAAAAAATTTAAATTTATATAATTTTAAAAATAGAAAAATTTAATTAGGTAAAAAATATAAGACATCAAAATTAAATTAGAGGAATCGAAGTAGTCTAATCTTAAATACTTATAATATTATTTTTTAGTTAAAATTAAAGTTTACCTTAATAACGCATACATTACTTGGAGAATATTTTATATTTGGATGAAATACAAAATGAGTTAAAAATAAAAAAATAATATAGTGATAATATATATATATATATATATATATATAAAATAAATAAGATGAAAAAGATGTATTGTTTAAATGGATAAAAATAAAAAAGAAATTAATAAGAAAAATTTACTTTACTTATTTAAATGAATTAAAAAGAGAATAAAAAAATAATTTATGACAAATAATTAAAAATTATAATATAATATTTTTCCAATTATGTATATTTTTTAATATTTGTATATTATTTTAAAATTTATTTTCAAAAAATTATAAAAATATCACAATTTTTTTACATAAAATCTCACCATTTTGTGTAAGAAAAAATTGTTGTGAACTCTATAAAAAAATATTATTTTTTACTGATATAAAACAAAACATTTAAATACATAAAAAGAAAAATTCACACTTTTTGTTCTATATAATTTTTTTACCAAAATAAATAAAAGTTAAATAATGTAGATGCTAAATATTAGATAAAATTAACTTTTTTATCCTTTAACTTTAGAGTATTTTTGTATTATTTCTTTAAATTTTTTATTTATTTTATTCTTAAAGTTTTATTTTTTTTATCACGTTGGTCATTTTTATTAGTTCTATTATAAAACTTAATAAAATATTTTTATCGCTGTTTATTTAATCCAACTTAGACCTTTGAATTGGAAGTCATCATCTTATGTGGAGAGACTAGTTATTTGAGATACAATTAAGGGAGAAAATTTGTCACTATGTTTTAGAAGAAAATTAAAAGATTAAAAATGAAAAATTTGTTCGTAAAGCAAAAATTGGATGCGATAGCGAGTTTTTCATTTTTTTTTTGCAAAAAACTGAAAATTTGAAGTGAAAGTGAACATCAAGGTTATAAAATCTATTTCTATTTATGAAATAAATAGATCGGATTTTGTGGGCTTATAGTAATGGTGACATTGTTGAATATTTGAAAGATTTTATCTTTTTGAAGTTTAAGTTTTTTTTGTTTTTTGTTTTAGTCATATAAATTCTACGTAAAAGTTAACTATAGTGACAAGTTTGAAAAGTTACCAAAGACTAAGAATGTTGCAGATGAAATATGTATATGGAATTATGAAAAAGATTTCTAAAGCTTTTTTGTGTCTAGATAAGGTACATGAATTAAGATATGATACGATTAATAGTATAGTGTACAAAATAGGCAGAAAAGGTTATATGATTATTGTCATAACATATTAAGGTCAAATACTGATTCAACTATAAAGTTGACAGTTGAACAATTTAGTCATGCAATTCAGGAAAGTGCAGATCTCCCCCTCTCCAAAGATAGCTTTTTTTCCATTTTTCACAGACTTTATGTCTATTTTCTTGCTTGTAATGAAGCTTTATTTTTTTTAATTACAAAATCATCACAGGATTAGATGATTGTTTTATGAAAAGATATTACTACAGAGAAGAATCCCAATGAGCAAATGTTACCAATAGCAGTTGTAATTGTAAAAGGAGAAAACAATAACTCATGAAGTAGTTTTTGCAACTACTGGTTTCTAATTTAGAGAGAGTGAGAGTTGCAAGACGCTCACCTTTATATTTGATTAATAAAAGGTATGACCATTGCATCTTATGTTTCTTCTAATCATTTTATTTTAGTTTTGTTAAGTTATGTGCAGGACACCTAACTTGTATTCTGATTTTAGGGATTATTGTCAGTCATTGAAGAGTTGTTCCCTAGGTAGAACAAAGGTTTTGTATTAGACACTTATATAGTAACTTCAAAAAGGTATATCTAGGTAAATAATTAAAAGAGTTTATGTGGAAGACAGTAAAGGCAACTCATCCACAAGAGTGAAAAAAATATATGAAAGAAATGAGAAACATTAATGAAAAACGTTTAAGCATCTCTTAAAGATCCCTCAAGATATTAAAGTAAGTCAAAGTTTTCTTTCTAATCTAAGATTGATGTGGTTGTAAATAAAATGTTTAAAATATTTAACAATGTCGTAATGAGACATAAACAAAAGATAATTGTTATAATAATGGAAGATATAAGGGGTGTATCTAATGGAAAGATGGGGTGGAAATAGAAAAAAGTCACATTGTTCATCATATATCCAGTAAATAAACTCAACTTGTGAAAATCTACTGTCTACTCCGACATCTTATTCTCACCAATAAAAAAAAAAGATCAAAGAATTTAAGGAATAAAGATACAATTGAGAAGATTTCATCTTAAAGTTAATGAATAAAAAAAATAAACCCAATAAAAAGAACTAACATGAAAAAAAATTTAAGAAAAAAATAAATAAAAAATTTAAGAACAAAACTAAAATTTATCATAAAGTTAATAAACAAAAAGACTAATTTTACCTAAATAGTATTATAAAATAATAAAATGATATAAACATCACATTTATAAAGAGAAAAAAATAGCTATCTTTCCTAGAATTTAATTATAATTTGAAATATATTTAACACTATATATAGTATATTAATAAAATCATACAGAGTTTTAAATTAACATAAAAATTAAATTATATATTTTGCACAATGAAAATGAATAATAAAAGTTAAAAAATATATTTTATATTTTTAATAATATATTATCCATCTTAAAAGTATTTTAAAATAAAATAAGTACAAAATAAATAGCAAAAAAGTTAATATTTATTTTGTATCATTCATTTGATCACTGTTTTTTTTGTGTAATTTGTAATTGTTAAATTTTTAATTTTGTAATCTTTTATTAGTTTTTCAATCAAATTGTGTATTTATTTTGTATTCTTTAATTTTATTTATTTATTCCCAAAAATATTTTTTTTTAAATATCTATCGTGCTCATTAATTCATTTGCAAACCTATCAATACACATTATTAAAATAATTCACCTTGTAAATAATTTCTTATGTGAATAAAAATAGTCACAAAATAAAAGCAAACTAGTTAATAAATACAATAGTTAAAGGACAAACAATTAGGCAAAAAGCAAACAAATAAAAAAACTCAATAAGTTTGAGTTATTAAATTCAAAGGTGCACTAGACTTTTTAAAGATGTCCAACATCTCAAAACAACATATATATCAAGAGTGTTATTATTCTTATCTACCATAAAAACATTTTTCAAGGTATGAATACTTTATGATTCCTTCATCTAAAGCCTTTCAAGCTACAAAATTTCATTAGTTTTCAAGTTTTGTGATGTATCAGGCTACTAAGGTGGCATGAGTCCACTAAACATCTTGTCATTTTTTTATTATTAAAAATTTAAATAATAATTAAATTTTACTTTCGAAATAGAATGTTTGACGAGTAAGAGAAAAACAGAGTATATTGTGATATTATGTTCATCATATCACACAAGAGACTGTGTTGTGTAATAATTGGGTAAAAGAGTGCATGAGTAATGTTATATAAGTGCATGTAAGTGAGAGGTGATAAAAAAAAGAAAAAAAAAGAAACAGAAAAGAGAAGAAAAAAGAACAACAATAAAGTTAAAAAGATAATTTACTAATTGAAACTTTAACAATAATATGTTCTATTTCATGGTTTAGGTGGAATCTCAATCTTAAATTTTAGATAGTATTTTTTTTAATTTTATTTTTAATATTTCTTAATTATACTTGAACAACCGTATTATTAAATTTCATTTGCTCTAAATTATTTTAATAATATATTTAAAATTCAATATACTTTTATATATTATTTCTGAATTATTACTTTTAAGAGAGTATTTTTTTTAATACATATATTAACTGTGTATTTTTAAAATTTATCTTAAATTTTAAAATATTTTGCTTTCCTCTTATTTTCATCGTAAGTTTTTCTGTTTGAGAATTTAATTTAAGTTTTAAATTTTTTATAAGTTTTAATTCTTATATCTTTAATCTTACAAAACATAATACATTTATTATTGATAATAAAAAATTTACTCTTTTGAAATATGTAAAAATTTATATATAATAATTTAATATACTCTTATCTTTTATTTACCAAATTTAATTTAGCAATTTTTTTTTCAAAAGTTTAATAATATTCGTACAGTATAAAAAAATTATTAGTTAGCTGGATTTTGTAAAATAGAGTTAGACCAAACATAAAGTGATGTTTTTTTGGGTCAGGAAACACAAATTGACCAAACTCTTGAGAAAACAAAGACGGTCCGTTGAGGAATCTTATTTCCTTTAGAGCCCAACCCGCTTCATTCCATAGAATTATTTTCTCTCAAATTGGAAATATGTAATTGACCCAAAAATGAAAAATTGAGAGTATGTAACATCCATAGTCATCTCTGATATTTCCAAATTACACCTGGTTTAATGGAGGATTATAAGTTCTTTGCTTTCTTATAATATTATGCTTTTAGACTACATATATTCTTCTCTAACTAAATTATCAACTCAAGCTTTATTTAAGAGAAATTAAACTTCTCCTTATATTATTTATTACTTAATCAAAACGTTTATAATCTTACACCATCAGATTGGATTAAGTATGAAACTAAGGTAGAGTTTGGCTAAACTTTTTAAAAAGTCTAAGAATAAATAAAACTTATTTTATAAGTTAAAAATAATTTATCCAGAAAAATTAAATGAGAAAATTTCTTGTAAAGTTGAAAATTTATTGTAAAATAAAATTTCATTCTTCAAGTACATATTAAAGTGCAGTAATGCTAAGGAACATGGAATGCACTTTCAATTAACCACTAGAATTCCATTTTTCATCTGCCTCCTATTCTGTTTTCAATTCGCAGATTGATACTATTAACCATAAACTTCACACAGAAAGTCAAAAACTGATATGAACAGAACTCATAGCATTAATTAATAAGCCACATCACATGGCAGTCCTATTCTGAAACAGAAAATTGAACATGTAATCAATATTCAGTTCATACCTGCCTCAATTTCACAAGCAATTGAAATTTCTTATGGTATCAAGAAATCATAGCAGAAATAAGCATATAACCAATATAGGCACATGATGATTTAATAATAATTGATCTAAGCTATAGCATCAAACTTGGTATTGCTCCAGCTGAACATCCTTAGCATTCAATGGCACATACTCTCCTTGATACACTTCAAGGTGATCTGCCAAAGCCGATTTATCAATATTCTGATGGTGAAAGGACTTGCAAACAAAATAGAGCACGGTTTGGAGAACAAGCCCAAAGAGGAACAAACAAGACAAGAGCAAGAAACAGAGAACCCCATAAAATGTTCTGTCCACAGAACCCAAACTCCACCCATTCACCACCATCTCCTTGAATAAAATCCTTATAATAACAAAAGAAACCACAAGGGTGAAAAACATGAATATGGACAAAACCATCTTTCCCTTTATCAACTCCTTGCTCTTCAACATGGCTTGAAAACCCCAAGAGTCTTCCAACACAGTCACAACACTGGCTAGTTGCCACACCAAGGCTAGGTACACAAACCCAATGAAATACAAGATTGCAATCAACACAAAAACCACAACCCCGCCATTCTTTACCCCAATTGTAACTGCCCACATGAAAATAACTAACATGGTCACAATATTGTAAACAAAAAAAGCAGCAAAGGCACATAGAAAAGTGAGCATAAGCCTCTTCCACACCTTAGGGACAACACTCATGACCTTCTTGAATGTTACATCTTTCGCAGTGTAGATGGAGGCGATGGTGTAGACCACTGCAGAGGTAGAAAGGAGAGAGAAAATGAGAAGTAAAGAGAAATAAGCAATTTTGAATAGGCATAGAGTGATCCATTCAGAGGAGATCATGTCAGAGAGTTTATTGTATTGGGGTGTGTTTGGTTTGGTTTCATCCATTTCTATTGAGTTGTATAGAATCTTCCTAAAGAGGAGGTTGGAAACTTCTATGTGAATGAGGAAGATGAAGGAGAGAGGGAGGATTAGAGTTAAGGTGATTTGGGTGAAGATCCTCCTCCATGAAAATATGATCTTGGAGGCTTCTTTGTAGACCCCAAAGAACCCAAGAAATTGAATCTCTTCTTGTTCTCTGTCCATGCCCTTCGGTTTTTTCCTCAAGCAAGTTTTGGTTTGCAAAACGGTGGAGTTGATGGGTAGGGATGAGGATTGTGGTGATGAGAGGTGGATTAAGAAGACTATATTGGCAAGAGAATGAACGAGTCAAAGCTTCATAGATAATTAAAATGGGTTTCGAGTTTAGACTTTTATATGCTCCAAATTACCCTTACTTTTCGTATGAATTATGTAAGTTGAAAAGTCAACGACTGCTTTTACTTCTTTCTTTGCTAATAATGGCCAACATATGTATCTTTCGATGTGATTTTTGGCAACTGAATTTTTTTTTTATTTTTATAACTTTTAAGGAAAAGTTTAGAACATTTTTTTTTAAAACCTTCACGGGTAGCATATTCTTAATTTCTTTTTAGTTCTTGTTTTCTCTTACCATACAATTAACAGAACATTATTTGATCCAAATATAAGTGAAGAGTGTTTTACCTTCCCTGTTTTTCTTGACTCAGGGCATGTTTATTTCTTAAATTGCATACAATTAATCGTAAGCATAGCTAAATTTTAAATTTAAATTTAAATTCATGTTAATTATAATTTCCATTAATATTTTTATTTTTATTAAAATATAAAATTAAAATTTCAACGTCAAAATAAATAAGGGTCAATGATAATTTCCCTGTTTTAGTAATGTAAAATATTTTTTAACGTCAAAATGTCTCAATATTTTTTATTTTAAATATATTTTTAATATACATATATACAGAATAAGAAATCAAATTATTACATATAGTATTTATTTATTAGTTTTTTTAACTTTGAAATAATGAAATTGTTGACCATGATGTAATGCAAACAACTATTCCAACAGATATGTGGCAACATTTAATTGAACAAATTTCCTTTCTAGACTAAGAGAAAATATAATTTATTTAGAATGCAATAATAGTATACATATTTTTTATATTGTTATCGAATTAAATATTATTATTATAATAATTATTATTAAATTTTATAAAAATAAATATGAAAGTTGTATTTATTATGTATTTTAAATAATTGACGATATACATTTATTTTCTTACAATAACTTAATTGCGAGTTCGGTGGTAACATGGCTATGGAGTCGTGACCAACTCCACAGCCCCCACAGAGAAAAGTGTATGCTACCTAAATTGGGGTTTATTAGTCTTTTAAAGAGATTTTTTGACACAAATAGTCAATATAATTAAAATGATTATAATTCAATAAAAAATTAATTATGATACATTTTTATTGTAAATTTTTTTACTATAAATTAATTAAAATAAAATTATTTTAAAGAGATTATTGTAAAAGTTAATATTTTTTATTAATATGATAAATTATAGTTAATTTAATTGTTGATCCTTAAACATTTTAATTGAACTTGATATTCTAAAATAGAATGCTCCTGTAATGAGAGAATGAAAGGTGAAAAATGGCAATTTGGTAGTATTGAATGAGATGGATGGTTTTTGCGTCAAAAGAAAAGGCAAAGATTTTTGTGATTGAAAGGAGTGAGTAGACCAATAACAGGTCTTTCACGTCGACGCAAAGACTACCAAATACAAATGGTTTGAAAAATATATCAAATAAATTAAATAAAACCATTCAAGTCAATCTTTTGGTCACTTTCTGTATGTTTTGCACGCCCTCCTTCTCGGAGGTTTCTCAATTTAAGATTAAACTTTAGACGACGGGGCGCGAGAGATAGTGCATTGTATAATATAATTTGTAAATAAGTATAAGTTGTAACATGTTTTAAAAGTTATAATTTTTTAAATAGATATTTGAAATATGTTTTTTTAAAATAAATATCTTCAAAAATATAATTGGAATGATTATAAAAGTAAATTTTTTTCATTCATATAAAACTTAATTTTGTTCTTTTAAATTTACTTTCTTTTATTTTTACTTTTGAAGTTAGTTCAAACATTTTTTTTATATATTTTTAATAATTAATTTGATAAATTCAGTGATTATAGTTAAAATTTAAGTGATAAAATTTTGAAAAAACATTTAAAACAAGAGATCAAATAGAATGGTGTTCTAGAAATTTTGCTTAATTTTTTCTTATCCTACTTTAATTTTTCTTTGTTTTTTCTTCCCTTATAATGCAAACATGTTTTCTAAATCTAACAATCTAAATAACTATACTTTAACTATTTTTTTTTCTGTAACTTTTGCTTAAGTGAAAAAAATATGATTTAAACAAAATTTTATTTCTAAGTAGATGCGACTAGTGTACTGGGAAGACATGATGAAGATCTAAAATGATATTAAATAATCTATCAATATAAAAGTTAATTTTCATTGTGAATTGAGACAGTAAGAGTAGACGTAAAAGTTTTAATTATGAAAATCATGAAATTCACACATGATTTGTAAATATTCAACGTTCTATTAAATCAAAAGTTATTTTAATTATAAAATATAAATTAAAACTACATTAGTGCATATGAATGCAAACCTTAAAATTGCTACCTAAATATGAGATATATACAAGATTTGCTTAAAAAAGATAAAAAATGATTATCAATACAATCATATAAATGTATAAAATAACAAATTTTGAAAGTCCAAAAAGTAATTTTATAATTTTTTTGAGGATTAAATAATAAATATATAAAAATTGGTATTCTTAAGTTACAAATCAAAGATATAAATCATTTATTTTAAAAAAATACATCTAACAGTTTAAAAAAGCTTACTCACTTATGCACCACTTACTTACTATCTCATGTTAGCTTGAATTTGTTTATGCGCCCCTCATACTAAAATTTTTTGAGAATATTAAATTATTCAATTTAACATTGATTTAAAAAATATTATTAAATAATTTTTTTAAAATTTCATTTAAAAATAAAATAAATAAATATTATATCATCTTGTTTTATTAACTTACATATATTTTTAGTCCTTATATTTTAGTAAAGTTTTAATTTTTGTCTCTCTTACTTTATTATGATTCTTATATTTTATCAAATTAGTGTTTAAGTCCTTCAAGCTAGGTGATTTAATTAAGAACTAACAATTGATAAAATATTTTAGTTGATCAAAATAAATATATAAACTAATATTTTATGAAATTATTGTTTTAAGTCCCTTGATACTAAAAAAATTGCTAATTTGTGGCGATTAAAATTTAAGATTAATGGCAGTTTTAACTGCTTCTAAATTTTATTCCAGCAGTTACAAAATTGACATTAAAATTAGTGACACAGATAAATTTGTAGTGATTTTGAACCACCGTTAAATTTTTAAATTTGTGACAGTTATTTAGTAGTGGTTTTGAATCGCAGCTAAAATTTAAAATTCAAAAACTAGACTATGTAGCAAGTAACAATACTCTGTTTTAAAGTTTGGTTTCACATTTTTCTCTAGTCTTTATCTTCTACTCATTTCTTTCTTTTACTCTTTGCGTTCACATTCCATTTATTTTTTAATATCACAACATATATACTATATAATTAATAGTATAGAGTCGTTGAAGGAGAACTATTTTTGAAAGAAGTGAAAAGGATAATAGAAGATTACTGAATTGTCATAGTTGGAGAAAATCCTTTGACGGTAATGGCAATAGTGGTGGTGGCAATGACAGAAAGGAGGGTGGTGGTGGAACTCAATGAGGCCAAGATGAAGGTGAAGGGGTAGCTTTGAGTGAGTGATGGAGAATGAGTGGAGGTGGAGTGATGTTTTTTATATTCTATTATCGCAAAGTGATGCTAAATCTCACATTTTTTTTGCAGCAGTTATGCAAAACTGTTGCTAAATCCCGTATTAAATTCCATATTTTTTTGTAGCAGTTACAGAAAATCGTCGCTAAATCTCGTATTTTTTGTAGCGATTGCAGAAAACTGTCACTAAAACCTATATTTTTTGCGGCAGTTACTAAAACCGTTGTTAAATATTATTTTTTACATATTTTACTGGCAATTATTGCTAATCACTGCTAATGAATCGACACTAAATGACGCATTTCTTTTAGTGCAAACTGACGTAATTTAATCCAAAATTGACATTTGACAATATTTTAGTAAATCAAAACAAACATATAGACTAAAAAAAAAATTTCTAAGAAAAATAAGGACTAAAACAAAAAAATAATATTTGAAGGAACTAAAACGAAAAATTTACAAAAATTTGAAAACTAAAAGCATATTTAAGTTTATTTATTTCAAAGAGAAAGAATTTCGAGTGTTCAAGTTGTTATAAATTTGATAAATTTGAAATGTTTTGTATGTAATGAGGTTGAATTTCGGAGAAGAGAAAAAAAATTAAGATCTATCCTATCTTGATTTTGATGTTTTGATTGATGAGTTTTGATTTAAAAAGTTTAAAATGGTTTTAACAATATAATTTTATATATATTTTAAGTAAGAAATTAAGGAATTAAATTTGATAAGAAATTAAAATTGCATATTAATTATGCAAAGGAGTAAAAATGCAATTAATTATGTTGGAATATGTAAATTTACAACAAAAGTTTATAGATTGTACAAACAAGAGAAAAAAAAAAGTATTTATTATAAGATATAGTCTAGTCTATGTGGATTAGAACTAAAAAGTCCTGAAGGTAAAAAAGTCCATTAATTTATTAGCTATAAGGCCAAAAAGCTTACATAGCCAGGATTAGAGTTTTGTGGGCAAAAAACTTTATATGTTCTTAAAAAATTAAATTTGAGAAAATTTGATATAAATTGTGATAATTATTAGAATATTTAGTAAAAATATTTGTTTCATATAATATTTTTTATAATAAACTTGTAGTCCAATAAAATTACTTAAAAAAAAGAAAAAAGTAAAATTTATATAATATTAAATATTTATAATGATTGTTGTTATTAAATAAAATTAATAAAAATAACGATTATTATATAATTTTAACAATTTTTTATATAATTTTATAAATAAATTTTAAAATATTATTTGAGTATTGGTTATAAAATTTTTATATTATTATTTTTCTTGATTTATTTTCATAAAATTATTTAAAATATTATATATATATATATGTATATATTCTGAGGATAATGTTTTATTTATGTAAAAATATTTTATATTCAATAAATAAAGTTACACTAAATATATAAAATTGATAACAAAAAGTAACACTGATAAAATTTATTAAATTTAGTGAATGAAATTTAATATACTAAAAAAAGTAAATAAAAATTTTCATCATAAGAACCGTAGATGTAGAATATTTTATATTATGAAATTTATGAATACATAAAAGTAATATGTGAACATAGTTAAAATTAATGAATATTTACAAATTTAAATTTTGACTCATTTTATTTAATAAAATATATTTAAATTAAAATAACTTGTATTTCTAAATTTTTATCTTAATAAAAAATTTATAATAAAAATTAATATAAAATTTTAAACTAAATACAATATATATAATATTCAATTTTATTTTATATATTAATTTATTATTTTAAACTCATAAATATACATAAAATTAATTACATTATAGTATTAATGTAATATAAAAAAACTAGTATATATACGATAAATTAAAACACATACTTATATATTATATATAAATTGATAAATTAACTAATAATTTAATTTTTTATTTACTAATTATTAAATTTCAAGTATATATTAACGACTACATTTTTTTAATAATAAAAATATATTTATACTTATATATCTATATAAAATTTATTAAAATTAATCATTTAAGATTTTATATATTTATATTAAAAATAATCATACCATGTATAAACCTAAATTATAATAAATCTATAATTATTAAAAATCATTAAAGAATATTTAAACGTAGTAAAACTGATTAAATTTATTAAAATAATTATTAATTAGTATTTTATAAAATATTATATATCATTTAATTATTGTCTAGTTAAAAATATTTAATACTTATTCTTAATTAAAATTATAAATTATTTTGTAATATTAAACAAATGCAAAAGCTTAATTTAATTTTATAATATAATTATATTTGATATTATTTTTATGATAAAATTTTAATATATTGAATAAATATTTTTATATTTTAAATATAATTTTTAATTTATTTAAATAAAATAATTCAATAAATATTATAAAAAAAATGATATAATAGTTATTACTTAGGGTCAATGTAAACCCACTGTCTATAAGACTTTAAAAAAAAAAAAAAAAACTACATAAAGGATTAATAGAGTAAGACTCAGGACTTTTATCTATTTAGACAGCTTTAATAAAATGCTACCTAATATTTTTATTTTTTTAACAAAACTAATATAAATGCTTCCTTAAAGATGCTGAAAGATCCACACCTTTCATGTAAATACTTTCTCTCATTCGTTAAATTGAAATGAGTACATCTCCTTCATTAATTCTCCCCCAACCGTTTTTCCTTAAATACTATTATTATTAGTACTACAACCAATACTACTAATTACGAAATTTGAATGAAGTTAAAATCAGCCAATCAGATTATTGTTGCATAACTAATTACAGGGATGAGAGATAAAAGTATTTTCAATTGCAATTTTGATTATAACTGTTTTCTTCACTTTTCTTGCAATAGATTTCATACTAAATATGGTTACTCCTATTTCTGCACACACATGCAAGAAAGACTTGTATATTACTCTCACGAATCCTTGAACAGGAAAGAATATATAGTGCATGCAACGCATTATTAGTGACAACTACACTGAAAACATTGCAATGAGTAACATATATGCTAATATGGCCGAAGAGATCGATGGATGCCTCTGACATCACTTTAGCTCTTTCTAAAATGCTGCAGATTTTCAATACCTTGCACATCGATCGTATATATTCATTGTACACCACGTGCACCAAATGTACTCAAACTAGTTTAATAGATTGTCTTAAGGTTTCAAATTGCATTCTACAATCATAATTACTATTGCAATAGCATAATTTTAGATGTCTCCACAATCATATCTCGAAGGGCACAGTAATCATTTTCTCACATAATTTCAATAACTGCTAGTGTGATTTAAAACTTTACGCATGACACCATTCTCCATCTAACCCACAATCAACAAAAGACTAGCATAACTCATGAAAAAAGGACAAAGGAGTTTAATCTTGCTTTATCACTCTGTTTAATCTAAAAGTCTTGCAATTATTAGCCTCATGCAGTCATGCATATATATATATATATATATACAGACTAGGATTGCTAAAATATTTTAATGTTTGAAAACTAGCTAGAAATATAGAGCTAAGGTTAAAGACTACTTCACTGGTCATCATGACGAAGAGACACCAACACCAAGAAAATCAAAGAAAGTAACTTCTTTCCGTTCAAAATTACTGGACTCATCTGCTTGTTCTTGTAGTATAGAAGAAGCATTCAACTTTGTGGTTGCGGATGAGTCATCACATTCGCTCTTCATCCTTCCATCATCAACGCTATTATCTTTAGGAGTCATGAATTTGGTGGAACCGTCAAAGGCTTCTGAGCTTTGTGATGAGAGGTACTTAAAAAGATCACTCCCTTCTTTACCAATTGAATACACTAAAGGAAGAGTGTTCGCAAAAGATGGCATGCATCCAAATTTAAATGTCAAAGAACCATTGGGACAAAGTGATGCAAACCTATTTTCTTCACTATTGAGGTCATTGAAGTCAAAGGATCGTGCATTCTCTAAATCAACTCTCGAGCTAACTAATGGGTCATGAGATTTTGTTCCTTTAGAATCTCTATGAAGGTCATCGAAGCTTCTCTTCTTAGATTGCTCCCTTCGCTTTCGTGACATTGTAACGTGCCATTGATTCTTCACAGCATTGTCAGTTCGACCTGGGAAGAGCTTGGCTATGTGTGCCCATCTGTTCCCATAAATGTGGTGAGCTATAAGCAGCCTCTCTTCTTCCTCTTCTGTAAATGGATTTCTGTTAAGTCTAGGATCAAGCTGATTGCACCACCTTAATCTGCAACTTTTCCCTACACAAAAGAAGTGAATATACCCACATTGTTCAGAACACATTACAGAAGAAAATTGTCTTAAACAAATAGAAAATAGATTGCTGAGTATTAATACTATCTTTGTTGGTATGATCTTTCTCTAGAAAATTCAAAATGCTATAATGTAAAAGATTCTAAGTTTACTTTAAAATTATGATTTACATTATATTAATAATATGATATATATCGATATTTTACACTAATAAAATTATTTATTCATAATAGTATAATGACTCAATATTTATATTGATAATTTAATTTATGTAAACATAGATTGTACTAACGAATGCACAAAAATAACATCTCTTCATCATTTGCATATGACATCTTTTGTAGTTATCTAAGCACATAAAAAATATCAATTTTTTTAAGTTGCTCAAAGTGGCATGATTTTTATGCAATTAATATACATAGATGATGTAATATCTAACAAGAATACGAGAAATAAAAATATTTACTCGTTAGCCGAACAATTATACATGAAATGGTTAATATATAATCTAGAAAATTTTCTGAATTATACCCCACGTATTCTATTTTTAATAAGTTTTTATGTTAATCCAGAAAAGAAAAACTATATAAGATAATTAAGATTAAAAGATCCAGTTAATCAAAAGTAAATATATGTATAAAAATAAAAATGGACTTATTTATCATTAATTCTAATACACCTATTTTATAAATATAATTAAATTTAAATTAATGATAAATAAGTTCTTATTTTTATTTTACTTTATACATCTTTTATTTTAAATAAATCAAATCAAGATTGAATATAAATTGAAGTGTTTTTTTGCCACTCATCTATAATTATATATCGAGATTTATTGTTCTTATATTTATATCTCACATAATACACAATATATCCAAAATAGATTACAAGATCTAATTCTCAAGTTAGCTCTAGATGCAGTAGTATTCAAGAAAAAAATCTCGAATTAGATCCACATAACATAAACAAATTTTTTTAAGGAAAACATATATAATCAAACTTATCAATTAGTACATCAAATTCATAGATACCTGTTCTTCCTTGGAGGTTTTCAGCAATTGAATTCCAGTTCTGGGCACCATACTGTTTAACAAGTAGGAGGAGCTTTTCATCCTCAGCAGGAGTCCAGTGACCACGGGGACAAGTCTTGGTGTCCTCACCAGGTGCTAAAATATCCTCCATGGCTGTGGATGAACTCTTCAAAATCAAACACAGCAGAGAGAATTCCCAAAGAAGATTTATATATGAAAAGTGAAGGAGACAAGGATTGTGGAGAGTTGGTTTAGGGTTGTGGATGGGAGGTCTCTTTAGTTGTCTTCAGACGATAGAGATTGTTCCACATAAAGAAATTTAACTCATATGGTATGTCATTTGGCCATCGACTATTTAATTAATATTCTAATTCTTCTGTGCTTTCCTCTTATTTATTATTATAATAATAATAATAATAATAATAATAATAATAATAATAATAATAATAATAATAATAATAAATAGTGTAGCATATATTTTGATTCATCATTTTCAAATTCCCCACAACAATGTAGAAACCATGGTATTACGTTGTATCAATTCCACTCCAGTTTGATTACGTTATGGTTATAACTAAAGAGACATCTCTCCTCGATGAAAGACTGGTTGATTTCCCACAATTAAATAATGTTTGGTAGGAATTTTTTTTAAAAATATTATAGGTTAAAAATGTTTATTTTCATATTTAATATGCACATTTTAAAAAATACTTCCAAAATATTAACATTCTAAAGAGTATTGTTTGATTATATTTTTAAATACAAAATTTTATAGAAATGGTAATTTAAAATAGTGTTTGAATAAAAAATTTTAGAATTTTAAAAAATATAAAGGATAAATATAAAAAGTTAAGCATAATAGAGATGTTTTTAAATTTTTTTAAAAGCAGATAATTTAAAAGTCGTTTTAGCTGATATAAAAATTATCAAGTTAAAATTTTGTCGTATCTTAAAATTAATTTTTTTTTAATTATCCAAACACATGAAGTGTAGTAATTTTGAATTACCTATCCAAACACAATACTCATAAAATTATTTTTAAAAATATTTTAACCATATACCAAACACCTTTATAAATTAGAATTTACACAAAGAATAATTCCTACTAATTAATCTTAACCAGTAAATATATCTTATACATGACTTTTTATAAATATATGTAAAGTATAAAAATATAAATTAAAATATATTAAGAGAAGATACATTTAATTAATAAATGATTATTTACTATAATATAAATATATAGGATTTTTAATTTTTATTTTGAACATATTTAAATAATTTAATTGAAAAAGGATTGTTTTAGAAATAATTTAAAAATGTTTCATTATATTTACAATGAAATTTTTTTGTCAATTAAATATACAAAAGAGAGTCAAATTATTTACATGAATAAATAAAGTAAAATGAAAAATATTTAATTTGATTTTGTATGAAAAAATTATGTCCTAAAATGATTTGGAGCGTATTAAATTTTAACACTCTCATGAATATACAGGACACAAAATTATTATATAGAAGTGAATTTTAATTTTACATTTAAATTTTTAAACTACCTACCTTATATTTTTCTTTCCTCATTGTATATCTTCGTATATATAATTTTCTTTTTTAAATGTTTTAGGTTGTTGTAAAATTAATTTTTATACACTTAATTCCACTATTTGATTTTAAAAGAGTAGAGGAGAAAAATTTCAATAGAGGAAAAAGAAGGAAATACCTCATAAAATTAGTGTTCAACTTTTTAAGCTTGAACATACTTTACAGTCTCGGACCTTCAACACAAAAAAATTAAGAATAGTTTTGTGTAATTTTATTTTATCAACAACAGAGAAAAAAATTATTAATAAAAAAATATAAAGGATACTTCAACCCAAACTTACATAGAAGAGATCAACATGCACCTTTTTAATTTTAACTAGATCCATAAATTTGATAATATCTACTGGCTAACTTCTAAATAGAACATTGTTTCTATGATTTCATGTGGTCCGTACGTGTCACCACTCGCCAAATAAACCTCTAAATTTGCCCAGTTTCATCTTCCTCACTAACTCAGTGATGGATAAAATGGCTTTTATAGTCCGAGAGCAAGAGTTAATGAAACCCAATTCAATTGACATTTATACATGTAAAAATCTTTGTAGAAAAAAATATATCAATGTATTACTCTTTGATATGTGTAGCTAGCATTTCCCTGTAATTAAACTATTAAATCACCATACTTAGCTTGTAGAATTTTATGCCATAGGGAATCATATAAATGTAAAATCCTCCTATGCCATTTACCAAGTAAGGCAAGATTGAACACCTTTATGTCTTTAATTCCAAGCCCTCCTCTCCCACAAGAAGTTTCTAATGATAGAATTCAACTTCCCCTTGAACTTTATAGAAAGAGAAATAATAAATCGGAAGGTTAGATAAAACTAAGTTAATGTAATACATCCTCCAAGGGATACCTATTTGTAGCCTTTCTTGGATTGGCTCCAATAGGAATACCCAAAATAAATAAAATAAACTTTTCCCTCCTTGCAATGAATCTTCAACATTAATTCCCATCTAGCCACTTTTATGAAATTTTACTCTCAAACTTGACACCAACTCAAAACTTTTAAGACAAGTCTTTAAGGTCCATAGATTTTGCATAGTCGGCTCACATGTAAATAGAGTATATATCATCAGCATATTCTTGCTTTCATTTATTGAAAGAATGTATAGAACATTCGCAACACTGGCTGATAATTTAACCAAGCAAAACATTTCAACCAACCACGGTAAGAGAAGTTACAAGATTCAATGTTAGATTAGTCATTGCTAATATAGATATTGTGATACAAAATTATATTCACAATTAATTATTAATATAGATATTTTAAGTGTATACTAATAATTTGATATAAAATTATATTGACAAATTATTCTGTTAATAAAATTATTAATATATATTATTAACTCATTAAATGTTAGTATAATTAATGAATTATTTGTTAGTAAATGCTTTCAAAACTTCTACTAATAACTTAATTTTGGTTAGATAATAATTATACTATCAAAGACTATTTTAACACTTAATAACTTTTATTTGTTAATTGATGGTATTTTTTTTTATAGTGCAGAGGTTAATAACGCTGATTATATTTTTTATTTGTTTATTGATTTATGGTCATGTTGATGGAGAGAGGCAGGGAGGCATAAAAATCAGTTCAATATATCTTAAAGGTTAATTCATATTCTGAATTAGTAATTTAGTGTAACGTCAAGAAAAGCACTTCTAAACCGTCTTCCTATGTTTTCCTTACTACAGTTTCATGCAGATGGTTAGTCAAATAAAGCATTGAAACATATAATGAAGTAACTAGTATTGTATAATGTGTTTCTTAACAGATTATGATTTCATAACCTGCGACATAATTCATTATCATCTTGATAAAACGTGTACAGTTTCTCCTTAAACATTAACATGGTAATAAATCAAACAGTTAAAAACGTAAGAGTTCGTTGGGTATTACATAGCAAATGTAAAGTAATCGGTGGATTTGGACATAACACAGTTGAATTAGTTGAAACCTCATTGTCTTAATATTTTCGTAATTAAACTCTAGTTGTAGGATAAGTTCACATTAATTGGAACGCCGAGATCGTTTGATTAGATTCATTTATATTAAACATTACTAGATTTAGCACATGTTGATGTACAGATTTATACAGTAATTAGACTTTTATTTTGATAATATAGTATAATTTTGATGTACTGTTAATGTAAATTTTTAATATTATTAATTAACTAATATTTGTCACTTATATGATAATTTATAATGAGATAACAATATAAAAACATTATATTATCAATGCATTCAAATTAAAATTTTAATATTAAATAAGTTCCTCAATAACGTTAAATAGGTAATTTTATTGATTTATAAGTTGAAATAAAAACTAATTTGTATATTGAAGTAGAAGCATGATAATTAAGGTGCAGAGGTAGGTGGGAAATAAGTTTTTCTTCTCTTTTCATCGTTTTTGTCAATAAAAGAAGGGGAAAGCTTAAATAAACTTTTAATATTATTATTGAAGTGTCTAACGATTAAAGGTAATTTTGAAAGGTGGTATGATTCGATTACTTAGAACTTAGATTATGTGATATCTGACTTTGGTTTTCTGTTAAATGGATGAATAAGGGATATATAGTGGCACGTGTCCCCAAAAGTTAATCGTTAGGTAGTGAAGAAGTGACGCAATCCTTAATTATTGTGGCATGGACGTGCTCCTCTTAAGATGTTGGCAATTGGATGGATATTATTACCTGACAGAATCCCAACTAGAATTAACTTCTTTGGAACCAAACTGTTACTTGTTCCTTGTGTTGCTTGTTGCCTGAGACTATTATAGTGTTCTTTTTCCCTGCTTTTTCGGATATGGTGTGGCATGTTATATATATTCTTGGCTAGGAAAGGAATATAAGGCTACAGACACTTGCGTAACCCAATTTTCTTGGCATATTGGACTGGTTATAATATATCTGGTTTCACAGGAATGAGGTGGTTTTCAGATATCACTCTCTTCATGTAGGCAGTGTTGGAATTTGTCAAAATTAGGTCTTCGTCTCCACTATTTGTATGGCTGGGTAATCCTTTTAGTTTTTTAGTGTGTTCAACTTTTTATAATTTGAACTTTGTTTCGCATTAATGTTTTACTTAGCTTGGATAAATTTTTAAATAAATTAATTAATATAATAATAAATAATTTTTTAAGTTAAAAATATTTATTTTAAATTTAGAGAATTAAAAAAAAAATGTTATTTCTAACTTATAAAAAATGTTATTAATTTTTTTTATATAAATACTTCTCTACAAATTTACTTAGCTAGATATCTCTTACATTATTTTTTCACTTGTTAGAAGAGAGATTTTATAATGAAATTTTAAATCAGGTTATTACATAATTGATATCAAACAAAGGCCAGGGATATTTTTTAAATTGGTTAAAATTATTTGGATCAGTTAAAAATATAAGTGATATAAAAACCAGTTTTGAATCGATTCTTCATTTTAACTAATGTGAATAATTTTGTACTTTTTCTTTTCTTTTCCTTTTCAACTATGTTCATTGCCATAAAATATAATATATCTATCATAGAAGGATCATCTCTTC